TGCTCAGGCCAGATATCTTTCCTATTCCTAGCAGCAGGGCCCTAGTCTTGTCGTTACTTTTGGATCATGACATCATTTGCCTATGATCAAACTCTTAACTTATAGTTAAGAATCGTGGCACCTTGGCCTGGCCCATCGCGATGCCAGGGTAGCACATAACTTACCGGCTTGCCCTGGTTCCATCCAGTCCCACGTCGGGACCCTGCCCTTGGGGTGCTAGGAAGTGAGGGCAACTGAGGCTTAAGTTGAGAAGGCAGATGCCCAGGAGTGAATAATATTCAAAGCCAATCAATTCCTAAGTTATAAAGCATAATATTAATTAATTGTCTTCCTGTATCCATACAAAAGGACATTGCATTAAAGTAAACTGCTCAAAAGACATAAGGAGAGGAGAAAGGCAATATTAACTTACAGTACAGCTTCAGTGTCTAAGAAGGATGAGACCTTACAAATTGGTTGGGGAAGAGAGCATAGAAGAGGTTACAGACAGACAAAGTAATGGGAGTGACTCGGGAGCACTGTGATGGGTACAATCTGATAAACCTAAGCTCCGTGTACTCCAACACATGTCATTGTCTGAATTGTCGTCTTCTTCATGCCTGCATACCAGTCAGAGCTTCGAGGGGATCTCTGCCAGGGCCTGATCAGTTCTGCCAAGGGACCTTCCTCTTATTTCTTTGAGCATCAAATCTATTACAGCAGGACAAGTCAAGATAGATTAGGAAATTCAAATATATATATATATATATATATATATATATATATATATGTTGCTTTTTGGGTCACACCCAGTTAGGCACAGGGGTTACTCCTGGCTCTGCACTCAGGAATTACTCCTGGCAGTGCTTGGGGGACTGTATGGGATGCTGGGGATTGAACCCAGGTCAGCCTCGTGCAAGGTAAACACCCTACCTGCTGTGCTGTGGCTCTGGCCCAACAAAGATTTTTGATGGTGAGCAACGAAAAAGAAACAGATTATTCTGTGCATATAACCAGCCATGATTTTGTTTCTATTGTGTTGTTTTATTTTTCTTTCAACACCACCACCATGAAAGCATGACTCTTTTAGTTATGACTGAGTGGTCTGTTCTCTGATCTTATGCTGTGACTAGTGGTCACATGTGTTCCTGGGCCTTCTCAGAAAATGCAGTTTGAAAAGGAGAGACTCTTGTGAAAAGGAGAGACTCTTGCTGAAGATCACGAAGGCATAGGATGACATGAGTGGAAGAGGGTGTCCATGAAAGGGAAGAGAAGCAACGGCCCGAGGAGCCGAGAAAGGGTGACTATGCCCCGTACACGCGCCTTCATAACACTCACAGTCCACAGTCCTAAAACGCGAGTTGGATAATAGGGCGAGATTTTCACTCTAAGACTCTGGACACAGAAATGTTACAAATGAGTCATTAGTCTCTTTATCCCAGGATTTCATTTCTGAGGATGATTCTCAGGATATTCTTGTGGAGAATTTTTGCTTCCAAAATTTGCTTCCAAAATTAGGGGCTGAAGGATTTGAAGTGGTAGAGTGCTAGATTTGCACATGGCCAACATGGGTTGAAATCCTGGCAGCACTTATGATCCCCTGAGCCCTGTCAGAAGAGATCCCTGAGCACAAAACCAGGAGTAAGCCCTGAGCACTGCCAGATGTGGTCCCAGAAGAACAAAAACAAGTTAGGGAAGTTCTTTCTGTTTGTTTTTGAATGATATGTTCAATAATGGACTTTCGGCCCACTTTAAAGTGACATTACTTGCTCTAAAATACATTGTCTCCTAATTACTGGCTTCTGGAGGTAGCTACATCATCTGGAACGTGGTCAGCATAGTTTGAGGTTTATAATCTGATTTACGTGTTGCCCAAACAGTTTTTGGTTGGGTTTGTTTCATGGGCCTCTTTTTTGAACATCTTCTTCCCTTCGCCCCCCCACCCCACCCCGCCAATTGCCATCCTTGCCCATCTGTCACCTGGTAAGGGGCAATGTTTGGGGAGAAGTTGGGGCACAGCATTGCAGGACTGAAGAGGACATAATGCCCTGACCAGGGTCACAGCCCGGTCCCCCCAAGGTCCTTCCCCGCAGAGGCAGCTTGCCTCTGTCTCCCTGGACAGAAAAAGCGCCAAGCAGAGTGTTGGGGGAGAGCGGGCAGACTTGGGCTCTGGTTTCTCACAAGTCACTCGGATATTATTGATAACAGTTGCCTGAGATCAGTGACAAGGGCACCTCATTCTAGTCCAAGTACGCCGGGGATTCGGTTACAATTTCAATAAGAAATGGGATACTTTGTCTTGTTTGTAATCGGGGCTTGCATTGGCCCCATGCCTTGCAGACTAATCTTGGGAAGTGCTTCGAGGTCTTGGGCAGGGAAGCAGGGGTGCAGTGAGAGGAGAGAGAGAGACAGACAGACAAACAGAAACAGACTGAGCACTGCCTTTCAGCCAGGGCAGCTGTGCTTTTGAAACTTCATGGATCAGCCTTCTCTGTAACCTCGTACTTAAAAAATGGAAGAAATCCACACAATCCAAGTTTGGGTGAGCAGTGTGGAATCTTAAACATGCTCAGTTATGTGAGCACTGAGGAAACTTTTAACCAAGAAAGCAGGGAAGAAAAGTAGAAAAAGAGAAAAACAACTTCAGTGTTCCTTGACAAACATGTGCGCACACACACACACACACACACACAGACAGACACACACACACACTTTGAAAATAATAAACTTGAATGTCCTGGTGGGTCCTCTCCAAGTTTTAAACCAGGAACTGCCCAGTAGTCTGTGATCATCCGGGACCTCTGTGGGCCTCCCTGGGTCTGACCCCATGATGGATTTTCTCTGCTCGACACCGTATTTCATTCTGTGTGCTCAGCGTCAAGAGTTGGGAAGTATTTCACAGAACGCACCAGATTCTGTTTTCTTGTGAAAAGTTGCCAGATCTGACAGTTCTGTGATCTGCTCCCCTGCTCTAGCCAGCTGCTCCTCCTGCTCCTCTTCCTCTCTACCCTGTACCCCGACCTCCGCAGCCTCAGTTGGTCTTTGGATCCTCTGCTCTGAGCACCTGTGCACACTGTTGGATCAGCCTGTCCTGTCGCTCTGGAGAATTAAATGAAGAAAACAGCTTGCTGTATTTGTTCTGGAAGAAAATAGTTTTCCTGTAGCGGGCCCTGTGATGGTTTCACTTGTCCAGCCTTTGAGCTGTACTTGTAGTTCTCAGCACTGATCATTAGCTACCATCGCCACTGAGAAACAACTTCACTGTTAAAAGTGTGGTTCCAGGCTGCAGAGATACAGTACAGCGGGCAGGGCATTTACCGTAAAAGCAGCAGACCCAGGTTCAATCCCTGGCATCCCATATGGTTCCCTGAGACTGCCAGGAGTGATCCCTGAGTGCAGAGCCAGGAGTAAGCCCTGAGCACCATCAGGCATGGCTTCCAAACAAAAGAAAGGGTTAGTTCATCCTTCCTACCACAGAATCTGATTCTGAGACACTAGGGCGTTTTAGGCCCCGGCTTACTTGGGCAGTAAGGAGGACCTGCTGTGAGCCCCCGCACTTTGTGCTCCCACCTGAGTCCCAGAGGAGGCTCTGGGTATGAAATTTGGATTCTACTCAGCCGTCAAGACTTTATCATGTCTTCCCCTTGAAAAGCTTCCGGGCAATCTCCTTCCTTGAAAAATCCCAGGGCCAGGGAGATGGTGTAGGGAGGGGTTGAGGCAGAGGGCAACAGGTACCACTGGCTGGTTGCCGGATCATTGCCAGGAGGACCCCTTCCTCCAAAAAGCCAAGTTCCTCATTCTTCGTCATGATCCTGCCCTCTGCCCTCTCTGTCCTGACAGATCTTGACCTCCGGTTCCCTTCATGCAGAACTTCTTGGCCTGAGCACAGCATGTTCTCAGGACCCTGGTACCTTCTCTCAGGCTATTCCTGCTGGCCTGAACATGTCCATTATTCACCAGAATGCTCAGTGCAGTGTCATGTTATTTCAGGGCACACTTCAGATGAACAACAGGAATTTGAACTGTGTGGGTCCCTTTACACAGATTAGTGTTCTAAACACACAGTGCAGTCTTAAGATGAATTTTCTCATAGTTTTTTTTTTAATTACTATTTTTTAAATTACTATTTAATTTTTGACTTTTGGTTCACATCCAGCAATGCTCAGAAGTTACTCCTGACTCTGAATTCAGGAATTATTCCTGGATGTGCTTGGGGGACCATATGGGGTGCCAGGGATCGAACCCGGGTTGATCACATGCAAGGCAAATATCCTACCTTGCACTGCCCACTGTACTATCACTCTGGCCCCAGAGTAGGGATTTATTAATATTTAATTTTCTCTAGCCTAATTTTGTTTTATTTTTAAATTTTATTTATTTTTGCGTTTTGGTGGCCACACCCCAGATGTGGAGTACAGAATCACTCCTGGGGCTGGAGCAATAGCATAGCGGGTAGGGCATTTGCCTTGCAGACAGATGACCTGAGTTTGATTCCCAGCATCCTATATGATTCCCTGAGCACCGCCAGGAGTAATTCCTGAGCACATGAGCCAGGAGTAACCTCTGTGCATTGCAGGGTGTGACCCAAAAAGCAAAAAATAAATCAAGTGAGAAATTAAAAAAAAAAAGAATCACTCCTGGCAGTGCTTAGGGGTTCATATGGGATGTGGGAGATTGGACCCAGGTCACCAGCATGCAAGGTAAATGCCCTCCCCATTGTACTATCGCTGCAGCCCCTCTAGCTTACTTGTAAGAATACAGTCTATCCTGAATAAAGCATATAAAATGTCGGCAGTTTCAGTTGTCCACTCAACAGCAGCTGATTAGTAGTTAAGTTTGGGGGGAAGTGGGAAATGAAATGAAATTTTTCGAGGTGTGAGAGGGGAGGACAGGGTGCTGGTGGCTGGAACCCCAACCTTGTTCAAGAGTTCACTATATTTCCTTTAAGCAGTAAATGAATTCTTGTAAGTCCTTTGTTGTTAAAGTGTTTACTAACCTTATTTTGTTGTCTTTCCTAATAGCATTTTCTTCCTCTTGCAAATCTGGAATGTTCACCAAACGTTGAAACTTTCCTTTGCAAAGCTTTTGTACCTACCTGCACTGAACAAATTCAAGTGGTTCCACCCTGCCGTAAATTTTGTGAAAAAGTATATTCTGATTGCAAAAAACTAATCGACACTTTTGGAATCAGATGGCCAAAGGAACTTAAATGTGACAGGTAAGTTATATAAAAGCTACTAAATGGTAAGATAAAAGCCACTACTGGTTTCTTTTATTTTTTGGAAAGTAGAAAAGTTTATTGGAAAGTAGAAGAGAAAACAAAAGGAGCTCCCCAAATGGGGAGGAACTTAGTATCGATAGTTTCCTTTAACAGTAGGGTTTGTTTTCTAGAATCTATGTGACAGACTTTCATTATTTTGTTCAACAGTTGCTGAATGTCGGGTAGTAAGTCTGACTTTCTCAGTGGAGAGCAAGACAGAACTTTGTTCAGGGATAAGGAAGTCATGAAATTTGCTTACAAATGGATGGACATGGAGAGTGTCATGATGAGTGAAATGAATCCGAAGGAGAGGGACAGACACGGAATGATTGTACTCATTTGTGGGATATAAGACCAAACTTTGTTCTTGGGCTCAGAAGACAGCAGCCAACTCTAAAACTAAATGCAAAATTGCAACCATACAAGAAAGGAGATGCATCGAGTCCCGTGGGAATGTGCCATGGTGCCTTTGACCTTGGCTGGGAGGAAGTGAACCTTATTATCAACTCGCTGAGTTTTTCCTACCTTTGCCCTTCTTTTCAATGCCTCCTCCCATTCATTAGTCTTGGTTATTTTTATCTCTTTTTTTTCCTAGATATCGAGGGCTTATAATTGGAAGTGTTCTACTGACATAATAGGACCTCGTATAATAAATCTGGGGAGGAAGTGGGCTGCCCTTACGTTTTCCTTGCAGTAAATGGAAGGAAGTGTCAGCTTTTGGGGCACTGCTGGCTGATGCATAATCATTTTCAGAAACAATGATAATATGTAGTGAAGCTGAGGATGTTTATACCTGACATCTGAGGAAGTCCCCTTCTACAGAAACTTTTTGAACTAAAAATCATGCACAAGAATTTTGATTCTAATATTTTTCCTAACTTGGGAAAAAGAATAATGAGAAAAGAGCCAAAAGTGCTTTGTAAGAGAGTGATTAGACAGTTGGGGGGGGGCACCCACTAGAGAGACACCACGCCCTTGAGCATATGAGAGCAGCTGCCCCCTGCTATCAGCATACAGAGATCCAAGAGGTCAGCGAGGGAAAAGGAATTACCATAGCGTATACGCAGCATGGTATCATTTATATCACGTTCGGAATCTTTGAAGTAATACAGTGTCACATTGTGGCTAAAAAAATACTCTTGTGAAAAAGATTTTAAATTGCATGAAAAGAATAAAAACTACACTTGTGGTCATATTTCTGGGGAGGCAGAGAAGGTCTCGAGCCAGAAAGGGCTCCCGATTTTGTCTGTAATATGTTTTGCTGTACTGAGTTAGATACAGAGCAAAACTGCCAAAGTCAGTCATGGTGGAGACATGGACAGACCCTTGAGCATTCTCTGTGTGACTGGGGCCGGGGACTTGGGGAAGCTCAGGCCTCGAATGCAGGAGGCCCCGGGTTTGGCCTCAGTGCAGCAAACACTCAGATATGCACACAAAAATCTATATATGGCTATACATTTTATTTGGTTCCATTCTTACTTGAAGCGTATTTAAGTGCTTTCTCCTTAAAATCCTCATTAATTCTTAAACCATATAGATTCCCCCTTGCCCCCTCAGTAATGCTAGCAGTTTCTTTTTTGCTTTGTTTTGGGGCTACTCAGAGCTTACTCCTGGCTCTGCTCTCAGAGATCATTCTTGGCAGAGCTCAGGTAACCCTGTGGGGTGCTGGTGCTGGAGATGAAATGCAGGTTGGGTGGAGGCAAGCCAAGCACACCCTATCTGCTGTTTTCTCTCTCTGTGTGTCTGAGAGAGAGAGAGAGAGAGAGAGAGAGAGAGAGAGAGAGAGAGAGAGAGAGAGAGAGAGAGAGGAGAGAGACTCTCAATAGTGGCAGTTTGTAACTTGATTCTGTGGTAAAGTTTGGCACCAAACAGAGGTGTCCTGTGTCTCATTCAGGTCTACCTGTAGTCAGGGGAGGGCCATATCTGAAAGGAAGCAGAAAGGTGACATGGCTGAAACTTCTCCTTAGGCTTATGCATTCTTGCACTGCTTTGAGACCATAACTCTCACTTGAATGCCACCCCATCAATCCAGGAAATTACATCATTTCCACCATTTCAGTTGCCATCAAATTGGTCCTTGAGTAGATCTACTCTGTTTGTGGGTCTTAGAAAATGAATATTTAGGGGCTGCAGTGGTAGTACAATGGGTCAGCCTTGCACACAATGGACCCAGGTTTGATCCCTGGTATTCCATATGGTCCTCTGAGAATTGCCAGGGGTCATTTCTGAGTGCAGAGCCAGAAGTAACCCCTGAGCATTGCTGGGTATAGCCTAAAAACTGAAAGGGAAAAAACAAAGAAAACAAGCATTCATTTTCCCCAAGTCTTACTCCTGACTCCGTGCTCAGGGATCACCATTGACTGTGCTCGGGGGGACCATATAGGGTGCTGGGAGTCGAACCTAGGTCAGCCATATGAAAGGCAAGTGTCCTACCCATGTACTATTTCTTCCCCCATTCCCCCCAAAGTTTTATATTTCATTTGCTATAATCAGACAGCCCCTCACTTTTTTGGGTCTTGAGACCACAATCAAGGTAAATTCTTTCTTAATTCTTTAAGAATGAATTGTTTTCCAAAAAAGGGATTTTTCAGGTTCACCCATATTTAATCTCCATTAGTGCACCTGGCCCTCGGAACAATCACAAGTCTTCAGGCTACTTCACAACTTTTTACCAAACTCTGACCTAGTGTCTGTCTAGGTTTGTATGTCCTACCATCAATTATCATTGCATAGGGAAATATTTTATGAAATATAGCATTAAAATCATGAATATCCAATACTGACATCGTCTGTTTAATTTTTCTTTTGTCTCAACAGATTGCAATACTGTGATGGGACGGCGCCTGTAACTTTTGATCCGCAGACACAGCTTCTTGACCCTCAGAAGAAAACAGAGCAAGTCCAAAGAGACATTGGCTTTTGGTGTCCCAGGCATCTTAAGACTTCTGGGGGGCATGGCTTGAAATTTCTGGGCATTGACCAATGTGCACCCCCATGCCCCAACATGTATTTTACAAGCGACGAGCTCGAGTTTGCAAAAAGTTTTATCGGGATCGTTTCTATATTTTGCCTGTGTGCAACACTGTTCACATTCCTTACATTTTTAATTGACGTTAAAAGATTCAGATACCCAGAGAGACCAATCATCTACTACTCAGTCTGCTATAGCATCGTGTCACTCATGTACTTTATTGGATTCTTGTTGGGCAATCGCACAGCCTGCAATAAGGCCGATGAAAAGCTTGAAATTGGGGATACTGTGGTTCTCGGCTCTCAGAATAAGGCTTGCACCATCTTGTTTATGTTTCTCTATTTTTTCACCATGGCTGGTACCGTGTGGTGGGTAATTCTGACCATTACTTGGTTCTTAGCAGCAGGAAGAAAGTGGAGTTGTGAAGCCATTGAACAGAAGGCCGTGTGGTTTCATACTGTTGCGTGGGGCACACCAGGCTTCCTGACCATCATGCTTCTGGCTATGAACAAAGTTGAAGGTGACAACATTAGTGGAGTTTGCTTCGTCGGCCTCTATGACCTGGACGCGTCGCGCTACTTCGTTCTCCTGCCGCTGTGCCTCTGTGTGTTTGTGGGCCTGTCTCTTCTTCTCGCTGGCATCATTTCCTTAAATCACGTCCGACAAGTGATACAGCACGATGGCCGGAACCAAGAGAAGCTAAAGAAATTTATGATCCGAATAGGAGTCTTCAGTGGCCTCTATCTCGTGCCGCTAGTGACGCTTCTGGGGTGTTATGTCTACGAGCAGGTGAACAGGATTACATGGGAGATCACGTGGGTCTCCGACCACTGCAGTCAGTACCACATCCCGTGCCCTTACCAGGTAAAACATAACAACTGTTTCATCTGACTGTTTCATTTTCACATAGAAAATGAGCCCTGGGGGGCTGGAGCGATAGCACAGTGGGTAGGGCGTCTGCCTTGCACGCAGCCGATTCCCAGCATCCTATATGGTCCCCTGAGCAGCGCCAAGGGTAATTCCTGAGCACAGAGCCAGGTGTAACCCCTGTGCATCACTGGGTGTGACCCAAAAAGCAAAAAAAAAAAAAAGAGAGAGAGAAAAAGAAAATGAGCCCTGGAAATCTGCTTGTATTAGTTGTGAACATACAGTTGGGTTTCAAATGAGAACATCCAGAGGACATAAGGAATGATTCCTGCTTATGACTTGAAGCTGAAGTTAGTGTCTCAGATTCTTTTCTCAAGGGCTGGTAGTACAGTGGCGCAGGCACTTGCCTTGCACAAGACAACTCAGGCTCAATTCCCAGCACCATACATATTGCTCAGGCCCTACCAGAAGTGACCCTTGAGCACAGAGCCAGGAGTAAACACTGAACACCACTGGATGTGCTCCCCTACTACCCTGCAAAAGAGTTCTTTCCTCAGATTTTTGCTTCACTTTACGATAATAATGTGCTTAATTTAGCTTTTCTTTCAAAAATCACTCTGGATTGCAAAGGCTGATTAATGCAGTGAAGGGCAGAGTGAGAAAGAGGAAGAGAGGTCTCATCTGATGATTTGGGAACTGGTTTATATTCTTCAGGTAATGGAGGAATTTTTGTTTGAGTCTGTCCATCGGTTTTATCATTTTTTGCATGGTAAAGGTAAAGGTAAAGGCCCTCCCGTTGATCGTCGATTTGCTCAAGCGGGCCCAGTAACATCTCCATTGGAGACTTTTGTTGTTACTGTGTCTGGCATATAACTATAAAGGCTAAACTTGATTTTGGGGCGGAGGGCCTGTCTCCCAGGTAGTGCTCAGAGTATTCCTGGGAATACTCGGCTAATAGGACGTTTTTAATCTAAGCCATCCCATACATCTTAATTTGCTGGCGGGTCGCCCCAAGCAGTGTTCAGGAGCCCCATGCTGGTTCCAGTGAGACTGAGTTGGTCAGGCCAAATGGTTCAATGCCTGGGCCTGACAGTGCTAGGGCAACCGGGAACTATACCCAGCAGTGCTCCAGGGGACCTTGTGTTTGCAAGGGGCTGCCCCTAACCTATGTGCTGTCTTCTGGTGCACTTAATCATCTCAGCTGAAACAGCACAACTGGAATGAACCCTATTTTTGTTGTTTATAATTAATATAAGGATGGAGCTTTAAAGATTGAAAGTCAGTTTCTGTAAACATCCCTCAAAGCATTTTAGTTGTGTTGTTTAGTAGAAATTTTGTTCTTTTTTTTTTTTTACTAGATTTTGTACATTTTTCTTGAAGATATGTGGTTATTAACTGTAACAAGGGTGAGAGCTGTCATTCATTGTATCAAATCAAGCAGTGTGTGGGTTAGGATCCTTCACATAATTGGTATTCTAGAAAGTTACTAAGCTATTGCTTTGTAACTTTGTGGAAATCTTTTCATATACTGTAATGTGTGGGAATAAAAATTTTACTTCAATACTCACTCTATGTAGTCTGTTACCCATTGTTTTTACTATACATTTAAAAGGGAGTCGTGCTTTAAAGTGATCCTAATATATATATATATTAAATGCCCCTAGAGTACTCAATTTTTTTGACAAATTAATGGGGGAATGAACAATTACATACAACTAGAAATGTTTAAGATTATAATTTTTAAAACATTTTATCTATCTCCCCAGCACCACTGGGTGTGCCCAAAACAAAACTTCATCTGAAGCAACTAATGCATTATGAAATAAAGTGAGAAAAGTCTAATCTTAAAAATGAATAAAGTCGATATAGCTATATAAAAATCAGAATTATTGGGGCTGGAAAGGCAGTACAGTGGATAAGAAGCTTGCTTTTCATGCAGCTGACCCCAGTTTGATCCCAGCACCAAATACAGTATCCTAAACCTACCAGGAGTGATCCCCGAGCACAGAGCCAAGAGTATACCTTGAGCACTTCTGGGTTTGGCCCCAGAACACAAACAATAATTAATAAAATTCAAAGATTTTTTTAATTGCAGGGCTGGAACGATAGCACAGCGGGTAGGGCATTTACCTTGCACGTGGTTGACCTGGATTCGATTCCCAGCATCCCATATGGTCCCCTGAGCACCACCAGGAGTAATTCCTGAGTGCAGAGCCAGGAGTAACCCCTGCGCATTACCAGGTGTGACCCAAAAAGAAAAAAAAAAGATTTTTTTAAATTGATAAATTTGACTAAGTGAAAATAAAAAATGACAACTTTTTATAATTCTGCATGAAAACCACCATAATCTAATCAGGAAAATCCACATCAGGTATAATTCTTGTAATTTATTATAAAAAATGTTCCTAGCGACCAACAAGAAAAATTAGACATCTTAAAAGAAAACACTAAATAAATTGAAGAGGATTCACACAAAGGGAGCATCAAAAATGCTTCACATCATTAAACATGGGAGCAAAAGTGTTTTATGAAGACTCCAAATGAAATGATAATAAAAACCTATTACATATGGCAAACATTCATTGTAACTATTGTGTTGGTAAAGTCGTGGCAAAATAAGCATTCTCAACCTTTGCCCTTCAGTTCTGCAGTCTGTAGGAAGCATTTTGATGAAGTCTGCATTTGAAAGGCACACACTCTGATTTTGCCCCCTGCAGCTGTGGCATACATGTGCCCATCAGCATGAGAAGCCCCGTCCACACAGCAGTGCCACTGCACCCTGCCTGGCATCGACTGGAGCATACCAGAACCCCAGTCTCCTGCAAAAGCAGTAGCTGAATAAATTGTGGTTCATTCACACCCACCATGGAACGGCTCTTTCAAAGAATGAATGGCCTCTGAGGAATATTAATAGGTGCAAAATGCAAGAAATAATTTCAAATATGTAATCCTATGATAGTGTGCAACCTTTAGAAATTTGTTTTTTAAATGTTGTCTTAAAAGAAAGGTATTGCATAATCTTCATGAGCTTTTGATATTTTTTCATTTTACTGATATTCCTTTTATTAGCCAACTAAACTTTTCTAACACAAACATTGGTAACACATAAAGACAAAAATGGTATGTTGTTATAATGAGTTGCAATGTATATTTTTTGTAGTAAAGGAAAATAGATACTTAGAAGTCAATATTTTTTGGCAATTATAAGAGACTGCAATATCTATAGAGAAAAATAAATGGTGACGCATCAAACTCAGATTTGGGGACCTCCTTCCTAAATATACTTTGGTGTTTCTATAGGTATGGATTTTAATCCTGGATAAAGACTCTTTGTTTAGCATTTTAGAAGGAGTGTATTATATTTCAAGCACTGTTGATTGTTATGTCAAACATTTCATAACAAAACGGACTGAAGATGTATGCTTTCTATTCAGGTTTTACATTGACCATAAAGTTATCTCTCCACTTTAAGTGTATCACCAAAATTTTGATTATTGACTTGTTTTTTGTAGGCAAAAAAAAACCGACCAGAATTGGCATTATTTATGATAAAGTATCTGATGACTTTGATTGTTGGCATCTCTGCTGTCTTCTGGGTTGGAAGCAAAAAGACTTGCACGGAATGGGCTGGATTTTTTAAGAGAAATCGCAAGAGAGAGTAAGATCCTATTGGTGTTGTTTGCAACCTGTCTGGTGTTTGAGAGCAAATAGGCCAGACTGTTAAAATAACCACTGCATTAGACTTTGCTTATATCAGCTGTTGTTTCAAACTTGGAAATAACTTCCTTAGTGAAATAGGTTTTATTGTGGAAGTTCTTGTAGTAGTCTGACATTTTATTGAAATATGAAGGAAATATAGGCAAAATGTACATTTTCTCCCTAATTTATAATGTGTCCAGTATCATTACTGCTACCACTGGATTATTTGGGGGTAGAGCATTTTTACTAATGATAGCCTTTTTAATCAATAGTAAAAGATTAAGTGGACTCAGATGTAAGATAACCTATAGAGTATGACTCAAATGTACCAAATGATCATTATTTCCTATCTTAATTACACATAGTTCTGCCCTAAATGTCACTAATTTGCCTTGTGCAAGATGGTAAAACTTTAAACTTAGAGAAAATTCTATAGCAATACAGTATAATTACATTTATGAGTAAATAATTCATTTTAGTGATTTACTTACATGATATACAGTATCCTGTATCATTTAAAGGCTATTCTCCATTGCTTTGATTAGAGAAATTTTGTAAAACAAATTCAGAACTCTAAGGGGCTGAAGTGATAATATAGCAGGTAGGGTGTTTGCCTTGTACACAGCCAACCTGAGTTCAGTTGCCAGCATCCCAGGTGGTCCCTTGAGCCTGGGGTGATCCCAGAACACAGAGCCAGGAGTGAGCCTGAGCACTGCTGGGTATAAGCCCCTGGCCCCCACCAGAAGAAAATAATATTCAGAACTCTAGACCTAACAAGTAAGTTTTGAAAGTCTGAAGAATTACGTTTAATTGAATTTTCATTTCAAGACCATTAAATATATCTTGTGACCTTTTTCTTCTAATTTATTTTTTCATTTGATATATTTGTATTGATCTAGCCTCCCGATAGCACAGCAGGTAGGTCATTTGCCTTATATGCGGCCAACCCGAGTTCGATTCCTGGGCCCCTCTCGGAGAGCCCAAGCTACCGAGAGTATCTCGCCCACACACAAAGCCTGGCAAGCTACCTGTGACATATTCGTTATGCCAAGAACAGTAGCAACAAGTCTCACAATTTGTTGTGAGCCATTACTGGTGCCCGCTCGAGCAAATTGATGAACAACAGGTGGACAGTGCCACAGTGCTGCAGTGTATTGATATAAGTGTGGCACTATCACACACGGATAGTCCCGCATTTAGTGCTGGTTTGAGCATCCTTTTCCTATCTAAATATAGATTTTTGTCTATTTCTCACTCCTTTACTATTTGGGCTTGACAGAAGCAGTGAAGAGTGTATGCACGAAAGCTTTCGCTACATGACAGTCTACTTGCATCTCATAGTCTTTACATTAAACATGTATGTTTGGCCACACTGGCAGTGCTTAGGGGCCATTTCTGGTGAGGTTCAGGCCATGAACTGAACTAGGACCTTCTGTATATAAGGCACACACAGAACTATGTCCCTGGCCCTCGCTGAATTTCCAAGCCTAGGTTTTAGAAAGAATAAATCACATAGAACGTCTAAGCATTGAATTAAGATCGTCGGCAGAAGTTACGCTATGTGTTGTGGCTTCTGCAGCCACGCCTATTCACACCTCTCCTTGCGCTGTCTTTCAGCCCCATCAGTGAGAGCCGCAGAGTCCTGCAGGAGTCCTGTGAGTTCTTCTTGAAGCATAATTCTAAAGTCAGACACAAAAAGAAGCATTACAAACCGAGCTCACACAAGCTGAAGGTCATTTCCAAATCTATGGGCACCAGCACAGGGGCAACTGCCAACCACGGCACTTCTGCAGTCGCCATCACCAGCCACGATTACCTGGGACAGGAAACAGCAACTGAAATGCAGACCTCTCCCGACACCTCAGCGAGAGACGCGAGGACAGAGGGCACAAGCACCCCCAATAAATTAAGGGAGCAGGAAGGCGTGGAGCCTGCCTCCCCCGCTGCCTCCAGCATCAGACTCTGCGGGGACCAGGCAGACAGGCCGGGTCGGGCCGGCACCATCCATGACAAGATCAGCTTGTCTGGGAGTGCACGGAGTGAAGGAAGGTGAGCTTTGTTCTCGGTTTCCTCAGCCCTGACCCTTCAGAACTGGGCATTTGACTTACTTTACTAGTACAGAACACTTCTGTCTGCCTGGGAGGGTGCCAAGAGATGTTGCTTCTGTGCCTTGGTTCAGCCTAGGAATGCCTTCTCCCTACTTAACTCTCCCATCCAGTACTAACCAGACCAGACCCTGCTTAGCTTCCAAGATCAGATGAGATCAGGCATGTTCAGGGTGGTATGGCTGTAGAATCCAGAATTACTTCTCAGCTCTGAGAAAGCCTTCGTGTACATTGTCGGGTTAGGTACATGATTTAGGTCCATCTGAAATACAGGCTGCAACACTATATTTTATTTTAGGGGTCACGTCCAGCAGTGCTCAGGGCTTACTCCTGGCTCTGGGCTCAGGTATCACTTGTGGTGGAGCTCAGGGGACTGTATGGGATGCTGGGGATTGAGCCTGTGTTGGTGCATGCAAAGCCAGCATCCTGCCTGCTGTAGTAGCACTGTTGCCCCCCCCCCTTCGCCTCCCGGGGTTATACTTCAATTCATGCTAAATTAGAACAGCATCTACAAGGCATTTTTCCTTTTATACAAAGTCACTTACAAAATGTGTTCTGTATTTTTTTTTCTGAACATGAAATAATATTGACGTTTCCAAGTGGGTCTAGGAGATCCACATACAGGTAAACATTTAATTAGTGGAAATGCTAATTAACTACTCTGAGATTTCAAGATTGTCTCCCCTCGCCCTCACAAACTAGTATTCTCTAGCCTCATGGCATATGAGACTGTCATTAGACACACACCTTTGTCCCCAGCCACATTTGTAAATTACTCCAAGACAGAGCCAAGGTCTGAGTCATCTCTGTGTCCCCAAACTCTTAGATCCTGTCTGCGCTGTGGTGAGAAATCCATCCAATAATTGCTAACCAGAGGGCAGGAGTCTTAGAAATTGGGTTTCCTCATGAAGCTTCTGCATGAGTGATTGTTGATGAAATTTTTCAAGTTGGCAAAAATGGTATCAGAAGAGAAATTCTTTGTATTTGGAGCTGCCAGCTGGATGGTGTCAGAGGAGAGATTATTTGCATTTGGAGCTTTGTATCTGCCATCTGATACAGGACTGAAAAAGAAGGCAGGAAAAGTGGGCATCGTTGTCAGAGTAAGCGGCGTCACATCTGTGCTCTGCTTTGTCTGAGTGTCACTGTGCTCTTTTTCTTCCCTAGGGCAACCCCCAGAAGTGAGGTGGCTGACTCAGGCCCAGCACCGGGAAACCTTTTGCAGGTCCCCAGTTCCTCCAAGCCAAGTAGCCTCAAAGGCTCAGCATCGCTGCTCCCTCAGCCAGCATCGGAAGCGCAAGAGGAGCAGGGTGCAGGCACCTGAACCCTCCAACTTCTCCTGGGAGTTACTTACACTGGAGGTGACCAGGCTACTGTCTTCCAGAAACTGTGACTAGAATTCTCCTTTTGCACTTCAAGCCACGTTGCTTGCTGTTACACTGGAAGCCAGAGTCCAAGGATCGATTGTCCGCTGCATTCTTCAGCTGTTAGGCGAAAGCGATGCAGCTGGAAAATGTGTAGGCCCGTCATATTTTTTTTAATCATGTGGGAGAAGGAAGTAGAGGAATCTTCTCTCTTTCAGAAGATTCTACTGTGGTTAAAAGTACTTTAGGATGGAATAGGCTGTTCACCTTTTATGGTATAAAATTGAGTTTTACATGGCAGAAATATTTAAAGCTTTGTGTCTTTTATATATATGTATTTGCAAAGAACTTTGTATGTTTCTGAAATTTTTTAGAAATCCTGGGAAAACTGTTCAGGTATTTTTATTATGGTAGCCTGATTTTATTTTAGCACTCATTAGGGACTTCTACACTGTATTTCTTTTGTATCATCAAAGATTGTAAACACACCACTGTGATATAAAGGGAATTCATTTTTAAAAATCCACACACACATCTTCTCAAGTGTGTGAACTTTTATAAAGTCGTATGGTTTTAGGAAGTTTGCAGATCCATCATGCAGCTAAAATAAGGTGCTCATAGGTGTCCCTCTTGATTGTATTTTGCTGCTCCTTGACACTTCTACATTGGGTGGGTGGTGGGATTAGGCCAGGCCAGCTCTGCTTGGGGCTTTCTCCTGGCCCTGCGCTCAGGGATCACTCCTGGTGGTGCTCAGGGGACCATATGTGGTGCTGGGGAGATTGAACTGGGGCTAGCCATGTGCAAGGCAAGTGCCTTAACCCCTTTACTATCTCTCTGGCCCTGACCTTTCTACATTTTCTTAGGTAAAAAATGTCCTGAAGGATTCAGAGATACAGTGCTACTTTTTGATAAATTAAGTGCAATTGATGGCACGTTTTAAATGTTTCATAACAATCCAAGATTATAATATTGACAGGAACACTTGCAGTTGCTTATTCTTTTTTGGTTGTTACTTTATGGTGAGGTGCATTTGGGCCTCATGTCACCATGTTCATGGGCTTTTCCCAGCTGTGTTCAGGGTCACTCCCAGTAGTATTTGAGGGACTAGGTGGTGCCAGAGACCAAACTGGGGTGAACTGCATGCAAACAAGTGCCCTAACCCCTGTCCCAGCTCTCTGGCCCCATACTTTTAACTTTTTCTTGTTTTTTTTTTAACACTTAAACTACAGACACTTGGTATAGTGTACTGTTTTTCTCAGCTATGTAGGATTCACTTTTACAGCTAAATAGGATTTTGGTGAATATTCAAAGGCATGTTTGCAATATTAGTGCCAATTTAAAATGAGGGAAGTGTAGTCCTGATAAACAAGACGTATTTCATATAGTGTGCTTTAAAATATTAAATAATTTTCTTAATTCTGTTTCCATTTAAGTATTGTTCCTCTAGCGAAGTTTTCTGACACTTTTTGGTTTTTCTCTGCTTAGCATTATGTTAAAACATAAAAAGAAAATGATTGTGTACTGTATGGGAAATGTAAATATGAACCTCTCCATGTTTTTACACTTCATATAAAAAAACTTGTTTTGTGTGGTCTTTTCATTAATAAACGTTCTCTCTATAAGCGGCTGGACTGTTTCGTGGTTATGTGTAGTGCTCATGACACAAGCAGAGAGATCACTGAAAGAGGTCCAGGGCTAACAAAACAAGAAGGTATTTTCTCCTGTTGTTTTATTTGGACCACACCCTGGGGTACTCGGGGGTGGCTTCCTGCGGTGCTTGAGGGACCAGGCCCTGCCAGGGATCAAACCAGGCCTCCCACCTACAAAGCGTGGCCCCAGCCCCTTGCGACATCCTCTTAGCCCCAGAAACTTCTTTTGAGTCTTTTGAGCTGGAGGAGAAGACAGAACTCTTTAGATTTTGCCACAGTTTCTCCCAAGTATACAGCCACGTTTATGAGTCTTTTGAAAGCCATTGAGACACCAGGGGGAGATAGTAAAGGGAAGCCAGGACTGTTCTTCCACAGAAAAGTAAATAGTATCATCCTCAAAACATGTGGCTTGGTGGGTGAGCACTTATCTTTCATGTGTAAAGCCTCAAGTTCCATCCCTATGTACGTACACACACACACACACACACACACACACACACACACCAGTAATAAATGAGAGGAACTGTCAAAGTTCTAAGACTGAGAAAAAATAACATAAGGAAAAAGAAAAAAGAAAATCTTCTGAGAAAGAAAATGTTATTATTATATAATTTACCAGGCAAAAAAGTTCATGAACAAGAATTAGTACAGGGGCCAGAGCGATAGTACAGCAGGTATGGTGTTTGCCTTGGACGCAGCCGACCCAGGTTTGATCCCCGACATTCCATAATTCCATATGGTGCCCCAGCACTGCCAGGAGTAATTCCTGAGGGCAGAGCCAGGAGTAACCCCTGAGCATCCATGGGTGTGACCCAAAAAGGAAAAAAAAAAAGAACTAGTACAATCATGAGATGATGAAAGAGGAGAGAGCAAATCCCCAAGGGATCCTGAATTACTAGGTGTGGCTTGTTAATTTCATGCCCTCAGAGAAAAGCACTGAAATACACACAGGTTAAAATACAGCTGACCATACCAGTTTCTGGCGAGGATTCAGAGCAGCAGGAGATCACTCAATGCATTGCTGGGTGGAATGTAAAATTAGTCCGTGCCTTTTAAACATGGTCTTAGCATATAATCCAGCAATCCCAGTCTTGGGTGTTCATCTGACCAAGGCATGCAGTTACTCCACTGTGAGGGCAGGTCTTCCTTCACTCATTAAGTCTGAGGAGTATATAGTCATTTTCTTCCAAAGACTAACAGAGCCAGGAAGGGGTGTAGAGTCAAATAACTCTCAGTGGTGAAACCTGACAAGCACTTCCCAAGCCAGGTGAAGAGTATCAGCTGTGTCCCTCATGGAGCAGACACCTTTCTTTTTGATGTGATGAAAGCAACACTTCACCCTCTGTCTTTCTCCAAACCAAAACCTACTGCTGTGGTTGAGTTCACAGATCACAGATCACAGATCATCCTGTTATTCGTCGATTGCCTCGAGCAGGCCCCAGTAACGTCTCCTTCATCCTAGCCCTGAGATATTCAAGGCACTTTAGGAGAATGAGACCCATCACTGTTACTGGTATTGGCATATTGGGTACGCCATGGGGAGTTTGCCAGACTCTGCCGTGTGGGCAGGCTACATTCGGTAGCCTGCCAGTTTGTCAAAGTAGGAAAGAGATGTCATAATAAGATGTCCCGCGGCCGCGAATGCGGCTGCGCGATTCCGGGAGCTGGTTTTGATAGTCTCAGAGTCTTGGCCGCTGATGGGATTACACGGCGCCAGGGGGCCAGTTGGTGGGTGTGACCCCCGCCTACTGGAATTTGGAGGATCTGGGTGGAGGATGGTCGACTCCAATCCGAGTAGGCTTGGCGATCTCGGCCCCAGAAACCACGTGGCTTTGTCCCTCTGCCGGTACCTTCAGGTGTGCGGAGAGTGGTCTCAGCATGGTGGTGGCTGGTCCTGGAGGTCTTCGGCTGCCGGGCCCCTGGCCAGGGCGGGGAGGAAAGCTCAACCCGCTCCCCTCCAAGGGGCCCCGGCGAGGAATAGCCAGGCGCGGGGGCAGGAGACTGCACTCTTCTCCTCCGGGAGCTGGTTTTTATAGTCTCAGAGTCTTGGCCGCTGATGGGATTACATGGCGCCAGAGTTCAAAGGAAAGTATAAATCAAATCCCCACTGATGAACTTTTCACAAAACATCTTACCAGCGAATCTCAAAATGAGCATCTCCTACCCAAGAGATGTCCAAGGAGGCAGGGACCTAGGTGCAATGTGGTCTTCTATAAAAGGCACAACAGTAGAGCTAAAGGAAACTGGAATAAAACATGCGCTGTGCTTAAAGTCCTTCAGTTCAGTGAAACGTTCTTTCATTAAGTATGTGATTATCTCTTATCTTCTGCTTGCTCTTTTGCATTGTAATTTCTTTTAGCTGGGTATAGATATCCTAAGTGGAGTCTCTCATTTTCTCCTCTTTCCTTTTGCCCATCTGTTTAAATTTTTGTTGTCAAGTTAAGAAAAATTTCTCAATTTTATCTTCTGAATTTCTATTGAATTTATATTTTGGTTATGTATTTTTTAGATCCACTGAGAATTTTCTCTTTTTAAAAAAAATAGTCATTTTCTGGGGCCAAAGAGATAGTACAGTGGATACGGTGCTTGCTTTGCACATAGTCACCACCAGTGTTTGATCCTTGGCATTTTATATGGTCCCCTGAGCACTGCCAAAATTCCCTAAACTACTAGGGGATACGGTGTTTGCCTTGTACTTGGCTAACCTAGGTTCAATTCCCAGCACTCTATATGGTCCCTTGAGTCTGCCAGGAGTGATCCCTGAGCACAGAGCCAGGAGCAAGCCCTGAGCATCGATGGGTGTGGCCCCAACTCCCCCCCCCAAAAAAATAAAAAACAACTGGTTCTTGAGCAGTCAAGAGTAGACTGAGCATAGCCAGGTGTGGCCCCAAAATAAAATAAGCAAACAAAAACAATACATTTTAATCTTCTTTTATGATGCATTTATATATAAAGATATATCCTTTATTTAAAAAGTTTATACAGAAGTACAGAAGTGCCTCTTACCATTTCTAACTCATCCCATTTACCAGAAGTCAGTCCCAGAGCCATACCTAAGTGAGGGAAGGTTGAGAGATGTAGAGTTGGTGCGTGCCCATGGGGAGGAAGAACCAGCCGTTGAACAATTAATTGGCTAGCAATGTTTCAATTTACAGATATGATTTTGCCTATGTGTTGCCAAACATAATGCCATTCTTTAATTTTTTTTTTTTTGCTAATTCAAGTTGGCCATGAGATATCATTTAATATCATGTTGGATTTGTATCATTGCTGGTCTCTTTAGGAAAATAACATTCAGAACATATAATATTCATAAATCATTTCTTCATTTCTTTTTAATAGAAAAGTTCAAAACCATCACCCGATTAAAGTACAAACGGCAGTTTCTCTTTTTTTAGTCTTTGATGTAAAAAGATCACTATATTAGACGGGTGATGGTTATGTTTATAGGAATGATGTATTTCTTCTCTGCAGACATACCAAACCATGAAAAATTTCAGGTATTCCTATCTCTAGGCTGATAACTCTGTTCTCTTATTGGATGGGGGTGGGCAACCTCTCCCTACATCACCCCCGTACTTCCAAAAGACCCACGCCTACCTCCCACAGCCACCGCCATTTTGACTCACCCAACGGCCATGAATTCATGATTGAATCACCGGAAGTACAGTGGGATAAGGCTGCCCATCCTCACTCTGAAGATACCCCAGAGTTCTCAGCCTGGGCCCCAGAGTACCTGGAATTTTTCATGGTTTAGTGTCTCTGCAGAGCATATTAGTATTATTCAGTATCAGGACTGAATCTCCTAGGAGATGCATGGCAAGCAGATAAAATTCATGGAAACACCAGTCTTCTGGCTGCAAACTCTGGGGCACCCTCAAGAGGGGGGTGTGGGCATCGTCCTTGCCCTGCTGAAGCCTGGGCAGCTGCACCCGCACCCCACCACTGCAACCACACCAATTACCCAACTCCACCGCTTCTCTATCCAACACACCATTTTGTCAGTAAAGAAACAAACAGCACCCGACCCAGACAAGGTCATACCTGAACACCTGAAGAACCTGCCGTCAGTACTCATCAATACACTGGCTCGGCTCTTCACATGCTACCTGTCTGAATGCAAGGTTCCGTCCCAATGGAAAACCAGCAGGACTGTACTACTGTACAAGAAGGGAGACAGTCATGACATTGGCAAATATCACCCTATCTGCCTATTGTCTGTCATCTACAAGTTGTTCACTCGAGTCATCCTAAATAGGATTGGCAGAACACTAGATGAAGGACAACCATGCGAGCAAACCGAGTTCCGCAAAGGATTCAGCACCATTGACCATATCCACACGATAACCAAGCTCATTGAGGTTTCTCGGGAGTTCAAGATGCCGCTTTGTCTAACGTTCATTGATTTAAAGAAGGCCTTTGATTCTGTTGAGATGGAAGTGGTCATTGAAGCCCTAGCCAATCAGGGCATTCAAGCTCAATACATCAAGATCCTCCGTGAGCTGTATTACGGATTCACTACCAGGATCTCACCATTCTACAAAGAAGTGATCATTGATGTCAGGAGAGGGGTTCGGCAGGGTGATACCATTTCACCGAAACTCTTCACTGCCACACTTGAGAACATCATGCGACGACTGGAATGTGAAGGAATGGGAGTGAAGATAGATGGTCGGCAACTACACCACCTCCGCTTTGCTGATGACATTGTTTTAATAACACCAAACATTAGCCAAGCGCACAAATGCTGGCCGACTTTGACCGTGAGTGTGGAAAGGTCGGATTACAGCTGAATCTTACGAAGACAATGTTTATGAGAAACAGCCTCATTCCTGATGCCCCATTCACTCTCAATGGAATGACCATCTCCAAATGCAACAGCTATGTGTACCTAGGTCGAGAAGTCAACATGACAAATGACCTGGCACCCGAGCTGCGCAGGAGGAAGAGAGCGGCTTGGAACGCCTTCAAGAGCGTCGAAGAAATAGTTAAGAGGATGAAGAACCTCGGGCTCCGGGCACTTCTCTTTGATTCCACTGTTCTTCCTGCATTAACATACACCTCAGAGACCTGGACCCTATGCAAACAGAATGAGAACGCTATTCAGGTCTCTCAAAGAGGAATTGAAAGAGCTATGCTTGGAATATTACGTTTCACTGAAATGAGAGAAAGAATCCGGAGTTTCGACCTCTGTCGACGATCAAGAATCAGGGACGCTGTCTCGTTTGCCAAGGTGTCAAAAATCAGATGGGCTGGTCACGTAATGAGATTTAAAGACGACCGCTGGACTAGAGCTGTTACCTACTGGATTCCACGGGATGTCAAAAGACCCCGTGGCCGCCCACCTACCAGATGGTCAGACTTCTTCATCAAGATCATGAACGATCAGTTTGAGGCCCTTCGTGTTCCTAGGGCGAACAGACGCCATTGGGCTACACTAGCACGCAACAGGGACAAATGGAAAAGTTACTGGCACCCGCTCGAGCAAATAGAGATTAACAGGAAGTCAAGTGATCAAGTGACCGCTTCACTAATATTCTCTGCAGAGACATAAACCATGAAAAACTTCAAATACTCCGGTGCCCATCTGAGAACTCTGGGGAATCTTCAGAATGGGGATGGGCAGCCTTATCTCACTGTACTTCTGGAACCATTGGAAGCCACACCCACCTCCCACAGCCAACACCATGTTGGCCCAGATTACAGATCCTGCATGACATCTTCAAATTCCACAACGCTGAAATTCTAGTAGAACCACACCAAGTTAGATGGGAAAGTAATATAGAAACCTACTAAACTCAACAAACAAGAACACTGAAGGCCCTACTAGCAACACACTTAGTAAATCCTCAGACAAGGACTTAACAACCTTATGGACAGGTATAACAGTTTTCACAAATCTTCTTTTATTAAAGTATTTTTTGATAATTTCATGAGCCATTGGTTGTAACAAGCAATATAAAATAAATTATGTGTGCCTGCTAAGGGGACAGGTTTTCGGGAGTGGTTTGGAAAAGGGAACAGTGAGGGAGGGAAGGTCACTCTGGTAGTAGGATTGGTGTTAGAACATCAAGACCTTGTAACAACTGTAATATAAACAACTTTGAATAACACAATGTTTAAAGATTTTTTAGTGACATACTCATTTTTAAAGCAAGGAAATTCACTTTATAGGTTTACAATAACAATTGGCATGCAAAGGGTGCAGCTATGGTTGTGAACAGTGAAGATGTAATAGAGCACCATTAAAGAAGGCAGCTAGAACTTTCTAGAATGCCATTGTTCACAGGGCCTCAACTATACCCACTGTGCTCCATCATTTCTAGGCCATATTCAGAAACCTAGACCAATCCAATTTGCAATTGCTCCCACTGTCAAATTCACAGTTTCAGTGCTTTCTTTCTCTTTTCTCAGAAATTTGCACTGGTGTTGGGCATTTCTTGTGACTTCGGCTGGAAAATTTTTCTTTTGCCAAGGCAGTCTCTGGGGCTCTCAGGAAATGAAGGATAGAATTCTTCACGACCACAGCAGCCTTGTGCTTTTCTGTTGCTTTTCTGCAAGGAAAGCATAATCTTTAAGAACTCACTGCCCACAGCACAATTAAGACTTCGACTCCAGACGATGAAGGTTTGAGTAATGGCAGCTGTGATCTGCCATGTGCAGATGAGGGCAGCTTTTATTAACTCCTAACTGCACATGCGGAACCAAGAAGCAGAGAAGGAAAGATTAAAGGTTAATTCAATGCCAGACACAGAACTAGAAACAGAGCTGGTGGCATAGTAATATGTATTGAGGTCTTTTGGGAGGGGGGCACACCGGGTGGTGCTCAGGGTTTACTCCAGGCTCTGCCCTCAGGGATCACTTCTGGCAGGGGCTCAGGATACTATACAGGGAGTCAGGGATTGACTCTGGGTTGAACACATGCAAGTCTAGCACCTGCTTGCTGTACTATCTCTCTGGCTCCAAGATCTTTACTAGGGAAGCATAAGGGAAAGGGAGAAGAAAAGATGACTGAAAGCAAGATGAACCTTCTGGTAAACACTCAGGAAATCTGGGGCCAGAGCAATAGTATAGAGCGTTTGCCTTGCATACAGCCAACAGGGGTTTGATTCCCAGGATCCCATATTGTCCCCTGAACCCTGCCAGGAGTGATCCCTGAGCACACACCTGGGTATGGTCCCAAAACCAAAACAATAAAGAAAAGCAGTAAGTAGTAAAAATAAGAATAAGTAGGGGGGAAATTGTTGCTTATAAAGAAAAGAAATCTTAACAGACTAATCTGAGGTTTTTATTTTCCATCCCTAGAAGGAGAAAAGTAAAAGCCAGGAAAAACTTCTAAAAATAAGTTTTCTAACTTTTCCTCCTTAAAAAAGGGAATGAGGAAGAAAAGAATATCAGCTGAAACTTTGGAAATATCATAGAGAAAATTTCTCAAATAAGTTCCCAAAGGCAGGCTTGGGTTCATCATCATTTGCATTTTAAATGAATGCTAGATGCTCTCATAATTAAGTACAAAGAGTCTTTTGGGTTTGTGTTTGAGGGTCATATCTTTTGGGGTTACCCCTGGTAGTGGTGAGAGACCAGGTATCCAGGGTCTAGAAAGAAGCTGGGTTTCCCAAATGCTCTCCAGGCCTTTTGAGTTATCTCCCCTCCCACCCCATGAAACCCCCACTTAATACTGTGTTTATAACTATATATGATGCTCTATATTAAGGTTCACTAAAGCAAAACAATTAACTGTGTCTTTCTTCTTCCTTCCTTCCTTCCTTCCTTCCTTTCAATTGAATCACCATGAGACAATTACAAGCTTTCATATTTGGGTTACAATCACACAATGATCAAACACCCATCCTTCCACCAGTGCACATTCCCCACCACCAATATCCCCGATATACCCCCCTTTCCCACCCTCCCCCTGCCTCCATGGCATACATGATTCCCTATACTCTCTCTCTACTTTTGGGTGTTATGGTTTGCAATACAGACACTGAGAGGTTATCATGTTTAGTCCTTTATCTACTTTCTGCACACATCTCCCATCCCGACCAATTCCTCCAACCATCTTTTTCTTAGTGATCCCTTCTCTATTCCAGCTGCCTTCTCCCCTTTGCTCATGAGGCAGGCTTCCAGCTATAGGGCAATCTACCTGTCCCGTGTATCTACTCTCTTTAGGTGTCAGCCTCATGTTACATTGTTTTATACTCCACAAATGAGTGCAGTCCTTCTATGTCTGTCCCTCTCTTTCTGACTCATTTCACTTAGTATGATACTCTCCATGTCTATCCATTTATAAGCAAAGTTTGTGACTTCATCTCTCCTGACAGCTGCATAGTATTCCATTGTGTAGATGTACCAAAGTTTCTAAACCAGTCATCTGTTCTAGGGCACTTGGGTTGTTTCCAGATTTTGGCAAAAACATTGGTTAGATGCCACGAAGTGGGTGGCAGTGCCTTAACCGTCTGCGTGTTGCAGGCCTCTTGCATCCTTGTCAAGGGGAATGCTAACCTTCTCTCCTTTCACTCAACACTGTGTGTTTATTTCTTTCAGGGCCTATCAGTGAACGGGTCTCTGCTAGCAAGCACAGACAGAGCACAGGCTGCCTTGGAAAATTCCCCAGCCCAGGAGGGTCCCTGATGGTTCCCTCCTTTCCCTTCCGATGGGTCCCATCCATCATACTTTCGCGGAACAGAAACTTCCAGAGCCTGCAAACAGATTCGACTATTCGGGAAAGCCCGCGCTGGCGGTTTCTCCAGTGGCTCAAAAGCCCCCTCTCTCCATGCAGGCGCCCAGAGAAGAAGAATGAATGCCAGGCTGTGTTTCCAGGGCTGGCCTTGTTGGCAACGCTGCACGCTGCAGGCAACAGAAAAAAAGTACGAACAAACCAGAACTGTTTCCTCGACGGACTGTGATCACTGCCCCTTTGTCGCACGGCTTGGGGCTCGGTTTTTCCTAGGCTTGCCCCACAGACCCAGAGAGGATCCCAGGTTTTCTTTGGCAAGCAACAAGAAATCAGTCCCAGAACGGGAGGATGCAGAGGATGGAGAAGGCCTGGGAAACAACCGGCTAGCACGGACCGCCCGGGACAGAAGCCCAACCAATCACCGCTTGACCAGAGCAGGTCTCCGGCTGCATTGCATATTATCAGACCAATGGGAATTGGGCCGCCTTTTTGCCTATTTTGCATGGAGGACCAGTGTAAGCTCCTATGTCATTTTTGGAATACTTCCAAGACTCCCCCCCTCAGCCCCCAACCATTCCCAGGGTGCAGGAACCCGAGGTACACCAGGGTACCTTCAGGGCAGAGTCCGGAGCCCCATAGGGACCCAGAGCAGCATAAAAACCTGAGGGATCCAGCCTCCAAGTGCCCAGGAAGCCACTGATGTAGGAGGTAGGAACATCAGAAGGCAGAAGAAAATGGAATCTGAATGAGCTGATGTGGAAGCCTGCCAACGCATTGTTAAACCTGAAAAAGGAAGCTGTGAAACTCTACTTACTGAACATCATGTTTGCAAGCCACCCCCATCTGACAGAACAATAGTAAATGTTTCCTATTTTGTTTCTAGATAGTAGGTCTAGGAATAACTTCATTTCATTGTAACTGAGAAAGGAAAATAAAAAACCTTCACACATATTGATGGGGCAGACACATTCCAGGACTTGCTTTCCTTATGTGTCATTTCTCTTTCTCTCTTGGTTTTGTTTGTGGGGCCACAACCCACAGTGCTCAGGGCTTCCTCCTGGCTCTGTGTTCAGGGATCACTCCTGGTGATGCTTAGTGACCATGTACAGTGCTACGGACTGAATCGGGTTAGGTCAGCCATGTTCAATGCAAGCGCTTTAACCCCTGCCCTAATCTGTCATTTCTCTTCAAGCTGTCCTTTCCAAGGAACACCGGGTCATGTTAAGTAAAGTCCTAAGTGCAATATATATGATGACATATATACCCAGATAAATACCCCACTGGCAGATTTCCACTCTCGACACTACTTCCACTACCCAGCCGTCGCCACACTCCAGGACGCTTTCCGGATACATCATAAGACACTAAATACCCATCTTCTGGAATTGTCGTACCATATTTGATAGGGTTCAAATATGGCAACACCTACAAGGGTGATTAGAGGTCACCCCAAGAGCCTCTATACCTCTCGGAAAGACTGGCAAGCTACCGAGAGTATTTCGCCCGCACAGAAGAGCCTGGCAAGCTATCCGCTGTGTATTCGATATGCCAAAACCAGTAACTACAACTGGTCTCATTCACCTGACCCTGAAGGCTTCACCGACAAGGCAGCACTGAGAAGGATGAGAAAGGAGAGGCCGACAAAATCTCAAGGCCGACCTAGGCTGCCACAATGAAGGAAGACAAAAATGATCGTCTGTACTTTCAATGCACGTACGCTAGCATCAGATGCATCCATCGAGGACCTGATGGTACAAGCGCGAATGATCAAGTACGACATCATTGGTCTGACTGAGACAAGAAGGCACGAATCTCACCATGCCGTTTTCGACACCGGAGAAGAGTTGTTCCTCGGAACATGTGATAAAAGAGGTGTTGGAGGCGTCGGTGTCCTTGTCAACACAAACTTGGCCAAGAGCATTGATTCATTCGAATGCCTAACAACCTGAATCGGACGTTTACATTTGAATAGATGTGGCTCACTGCCTGCAGTTTCTATCTTCGTTGTCTACGCACCAACATCTCATTATGATGAAAGAGAAATCGAGAAGTTCTACATGGAGCTAGAGAAGTTCTATAAAAAAGACCACACCTTCTACAAGATCATTGTGGGTGATTTTAATGCCAAGATAGGACCGAGAAGATCAGCTGAAGAACTTCACATCGGGACCCATGGCCTAGAATGGAACGAACAGGGTGAGAGACTGTCTGAGTTCATCATGTCGACCAAGACCATTCATGGTAACTCACAGTTCCAGAAGGCAGAATCTAAACGATGGACATGGGAGTCTCCCGGTGGTCGATTCCACAACGAAATAGACCACATCATATTCAATCGACGGTTTTGCCTGACTGATGTCGCTGTTGTCCCAAAATTTCGAACGGGATCGGACCACCGTCTCCTTCGTGCAAAATTCTACTTCACAGAGCGGGGAGAAAGGGCTGCAAAGTTCAAAAAGAGAACTCCCAGAATGACCACCAACTGGGAACTCTTTGGTACTATTGCGGCAACATGGGAAGATGCCATTGTTGACAACATTGACGAGGAATACGATCGACTGGTTCAGCACCTCCATGAATGTGCGAGGAACACCAAGAGAGAGATAGCCACAAAAAAATGCCTGTCTTCGAAAACTCTTGAGCTAATTCGCCAGCGTGGTTTGGCGCATGCCTCCGGCAACCGCAAGCTAACGTCCGAGCTTGCAAAGCAGTGCAGAGATGTGATCAAGGAAGACCTCAAAGAGAGAAGAGCAGAAGTACTGGTAGATGCGGCAGAAGCCGGGAAAAGTATTCGTAACGCCCGCCTGTCCTTCGCCAACTATAAGACCAAGATGACTGCCCTCCGACGTCCTGATGGATCCATCACATCCTCCAGAACGGCAACGGAGAAGATTATCCATGACTTCTACTCAAATCTCTTCGATAGCCATGTCCACTTGCCGACATACCAAATTCCACAGGATGGGTATGTCGTTCCTAACGTTCTCCCTTCCGAAATCCGACACGCCATTTCGTTGGTAAAGAAGCAAACAGCACCCGGCCCAGACAAGGTCAGACCTGAACACCTGAAGAACCTGCCGTCAGTACTCATCAATACACTGGCTCGGCTCTTCACTCGCTACCTGTCTGAATGCAAGGTTCCGTCCCAATGGAAAACCAGCAGGACCGTACTACTGTTCAAGAAGGGAGACATCCATGACATTGGCAACTATCGCCCGATCTGCCTATTGTCTGTCATCTACAAGCTGTTCACTCGAGTCATCCTGAATAGGATTGGCAGAACACTAGATGAAGGACAACCATGCGAGCAAGCCGGGTTCCGCAAAGGATTCAGCACCATCGACCATATCCACACGGTAACCAAGCTCATTGAGGTTTCTCGGGAGTTCAAGATGCCGCTCTGCTTAACGTTCATTGATTTAAAGAAGGCCTTTGATTCTGTTGAGATGGAAGCGGTCATTGAAGCCCTAGCCAATCAGGGCATTCAAGCCCAATACATCAGGATCCTCCGTGAGCTGTATTGCGGATTCACTACCAGGATCTCACCATTCTACAAAGAAGTGATCGTTGATGTCAAGAGAGGGGTGCGGCAGGGTGATACCATTTCACCGAAACTCTTCAGTGCCACCCTCGAGAACATCATGCGACGACTGGAATGGGAAGGAATGGGAGTGAAGATAGATGGTCGGCAACTACACCACCTCCGCTTTGCTGATGACATTGTTTTAATAACACCAAACATCAGCCAAGCGGCACAAATGCTGGCCGACTTTGACCGTGAGTGTGGAAAGGTAGGACTACAGCTGAATCTTACGAAGACAATGTTTATGAGAAACAGCCTTGTTCCTGACGCCCCATTCGCTCTCAATGGAACGACCATCTCCGAATGCAACAGCTATGTGTACCTAGGTCGAGAGGTCAACATGAGAAATGACCTGGCACCCGACCTGCGCAGGAGGAAGAGAGCGGCTTGGAACGCCTTCAAGAACGTCGAAGAAATAGTTAAGAGGACGAAGAACCTCCGGCTCCGGGCACATCTCTTTGATTGCACTGTTCTTCCTGCATTAACATATGCCTCAGAGACCTGGGCCCTATGCAAACAAGATGAGAACGCCATTCAGGTCTCCCAAAGAAGAATAGAAAGAGCTATGCTTGGAATATCACGTTTCACTCAAATGAGAGAACGAATCCGGAGTTCTGACATCCGTCGACGATCAAGGATCAGGGACGCTGTCTCATATGCCAAGGTGTCGAAAATCAGATGGGCTGGTCACGTAATGAGATTTAAAGATGACCGTTGGACTAGAGCTGTTACTGATTGGATTCCACGGGATGTCAAGAGACCGCGTGGCCGCCCACCTACCAGATGGTCAGACTTCTTTGTCAAGATCATGAACGATCGGTTTGAGGCCCTCCATGTTCCCGGAGCGAAGAGATGCCATTGGGCTACACTAGTACGCGACAGGGACAAATGTAGACGTTACTGGCGCCCGCTCGAGCAAATCGACGACTAACGGGAAGTTAAGTGATTAAGTGATATAACGTAAGCAATTACGTTCCCAAAGTTCTCCCTTCCGAAAGCTGACACGCCATTTTGTTGGTAAAGAAACAAACAGCGCCTGACCCAGACAAGGTCAGATCTGAACACCTAAAGAACCTGCCATCAGTACTCATCAATACGCTGGCTCGGCTCTTCACATGCTACCTGTCTGAATGCAAGTTTCCGTCCCAATGGAAAACCAGTAGGATTGTACTACTGTACAAGAAGGGAGACATCCACGACGTTGGCAATTAATGCCTGATCTGCCTATTGTCTGTCATCTACAAGCTGTTCACTTGAGTCATCC